AAAGTAGTATGAAACAGGTGGTACGCATTTAGACGACTAGTATTCTGTAAATATATTACTTTGTGTCAACTCTATGTCGCCTTTGGTTCTAAATCAAGGTCTAATGTATGAATTTTAATTGTCTGATAATGTATTGACAAGAAGATTCTTAGGCAAGTAAAAGTTGTTTTATTCTTGATCAGTGTTTGATGGACGGCCTGAAATGGTACAAAACGGGTGGTACTCATCTAGACGATTAGTAGTCTGTAAATAGATTATGGATTTTTGTTTTAGATGATTAATATTTCTTGAGTTTCCCTAAAATTAGAAGGTGAGTCTTGACACGACATCAAAATTGCCTCTTTGTTACCTACATGACTAAGGTTCAGGAAGCTGAAACAATCTTGCATTTGGTGGGAATCCTGTGCATTAGGCTACCTTACATTGACCTAATTTTCTTCTACTAGGTGCTGTACACATCTTGTTTCTTGTGCACTTCTGTTTGCCATTATTTGTTGATGGAATGGAATTAGCTCACGAATAAAGAAAAGATTTGAAGAGTAGAAAATACCTGAAACGTATGGTTTAAGCATATCGTAGATGGATTAGACCCCACGAGTATGTGGAACAAGATGAGTAGTGAGCATCGTGGAGCAAAAGTTGGATTGAGTTGATGATGATTCATTTTCGGTTTGGTCCCTATAGTCATGAGTCACTGCTGAGCAAATGTGCTGAGAATTATGAAGTATGTATTACTGAATGGTAGCTTTTGTCGGTGTTACACTGTAGTTTGTGTGCCGTCACTCCATTACGAAGGAGCATTCGATCTCTAGAAATGGTGTGTTCTCTAAAAGTACTGCAAATGGTCAAGAGGAGATTATGGTTTAAGCTCAGTGATTATTATGTTTTAAGTTTGTTGGTTTCTAATATTATCATGATATTGAGTGTGATACAATGAGTTTTATCGGTGAATTCTTTCGATATATTCTGTTCCCTATGTTCCGTCGATGAGCTTCATTCTTTGCTAGTCTGAGGTGTCCTCTGCATTCTCATGTCGTACTAATTGTTAATTCCTGGACTGTGAAGATTTGCAGAAGATACAAGCAATACCACCAGCAAATGCAAATGGTGGTCTCCTCCTTCGAATCTGTTGCTGGCCTCAATTCTGCCACACCCTGCACTTCGCTAGCCCTGAAAGCCATCTCAAAACACTTCAGGAGTCTAAAGAATGCCATATCAGAGCAGATACAAAACATAAGCAAAGTTCTTGGCGAGGAACTCTTGTCATCACCCAGTTTTAGTAGAGGGGAAGCTACGACAACCCCACGGTCGAAGTACCTTGATCAAAGTCTTCAGAAACAAAAGGTGGGCGAAAGCACCCTAAGCTTCACGGGCTACAACCAGCCTGTTTGGAAGCCACAGAGGGGCCTTCCAGAGCGTGCCGTATCTGTTCTCCGGGCCTGGTTGTTCGAGCATTTTCTTCATCCGTAAGTTGCGATCTAGAGGTCATCATATTTGCTTTTTCTTGCCTGCAAACTCATTGCATGTTTGTTGTTTCCAGGTATCCGACCGATACAGATAAGCACATGTTAGCAACTCAGACTGGCCTGTCGAGGAATCAGGTATTGATGCATATCTAAGGTCTTAACCGTGGAACATGCTTGTGTCTTGCTTTACCTAAAGCGGTAAACATAACAAGGATCACAGAAAATTTCCACTCAGTCATTCCCTAGCAACTCAACATTCCTAAAGGAATTATCCACATCTCTGGTTGATCTATTTGCTCAACCAGCCTCTTTATATAAGTGATGAAATGGCTACTAAATAGTGTTAACCTCACAAGAACAATAGTGCAGGCAAAAGTTGGGTGAACTCATCCTAGACCTTGTGATTAGAAGTGACATACTTGTAAGGATATGCTTTGGGAGAGCTTTTCCAATGTGATCACATGCATCATTCCTTAATAGATAGACATTTCATGCTTGCTTATGAAACCTGCCTTTCGTTTTGCAGTACTTTTGGCCAATGCGAAGCTGGCTGATGAATGTTTTCTCGTTGCTTAATCACAATCGTGAGAGTTTGATGGATTTTCTATAAGATTTCGGTGTTCTTATTTGATGATTTTGTTAATGCAGGTTTCCAACTGGTTCATCAACGCCAGGGTAAGGCTATGGAAACCCATGATAGAAGAGATCCACATGCTGGAGACCAAAGGAACCAGTGGAATGGATTTCACTTCAGCTAATGCAAAGCACATGATGCCCGGCACAGACGACGGAGCACGCCCTTCCATGGAGCCCGTGTTCGCCGCCGACGAGCGCTCCCAGGAGCCGTGGCAAGGCGACAAGAGATCGAGGGTTGAAGAGAGCGAGATGCTGATGAGCTTCGCGAGCTACCAACACGCCATGGACATCGGCGGGATTGACGCGGTGTCCTTGACGCTGGGCCTTCGGCACGAGGGCGGCCAACAGAATCCGCATCAGATGTTCCATGATTTTGTGGGCTGATCGCCGTTTCTTTGCGCCGAATTCGGTGGGCTGATCGGCACGAGATCGTCGGCTGATCGCCGCATCAGAATCCGCACGGAGGGCGGCCGCGCAGTTCTCGTCGAATTCGGTGGTCGAAGTGATCTGCATCGCTTCTTCGTAGGGTGTCTTCTGCTATACGAGTGTTTGTGGTGTTGTGATGATATCTGAACTGCTCAATCTAACAGTGTCGTTTCTGCACGCGTGCGTTCTTTCTGACATCAGCCCATGGGCCCCTTTTCATTGATCCAATCGGAAGGTTGGTATGCCAGGCGAGCACAAATGAAAGTGATGACGGGCTGCGTCGAGCAAAGCAGATCACCGACCATGCAATTTTCACGGGGTGACGTGGTTTCTCCATCGCCTGTGAGAGGTGATGACATCACCCGAGACAAACGTCAGGGTTGACTCGGTCCAACGTAAAACGATTACACCCCACGCGACCTCAGCCGGGCGCGCACGTGCCGTGCGGCGCCATCTTACCCTCTTCCGAACGGAACCCAATCCGCGACATCCGTCGCCCGCGATCGACCCCCGTGGCGGCATCCGTCGTTGAAGGGAAGGCCGTAAGGGCGAGAGACAAAACCGAAGCGACGGGGAAAAGAAGCTCGAGACGAAAAGGAAACCCCCCTGTCCTATCGATCGATCCTTCCCTCCCTCCACGATTCTTCGCCGCTTGGAGTTGTTTGATCCATCCGGTCTCGAGACGGACTCCGTGAACTCCGTCCGATTCCGGACTCCTCTGGGTACTCCTTCCTTGCTTCTTGTCTTTTTCCCTTGGAATTTGCACAAATTGGTGGTTCTTGGATCTTGTCTTGGAGTCTTTAGGTTGTGTCGTATCGGCTAACCGGTTCCTCGATGCGATTCGAGGATGAATTTACCGGGTTTTGGGGTTTCTTTGGTTTCGCTAAGGGTGTTTCCAGTGTCGTTGTTTTTCTTGGATGTTAATTTGGTATCAAGATTGTTGCTTTTGCTTAGGTTTCGGATGCGGCTTTGCTTTTTTGTCCTATTCATAGTGCCAGAAACCGTCTTCTGACTAGCCAGCGCTTGATGGTAGAGTTTATTGAAGTGTCTTAATGTCCTGCTTGTGACAATTACTCCCTCTAAACGAACCATGAGTGATTACTTGTTTTGCTAGTTCTTGTATTGGCAATTTACTTTCATTGGGAGGAATTGTGGGGCAAGAAAGATACTATCGGAAGGTGTGAAACTATGTTAACTGCTACGAACAAGATTATGAATTGTCTAGATTTGGTAGAGAAGCGCATAACACGAAAGTGGAAACCCTTCATGGTAGGATAATGGACCCTCCTGATCTATCAGCAGAAAACATATATTTCTTTGCAGGACATAAAATTTGATTTCGTCTTTAGCGTTTTTAATAGCACTGTCTTTCTTTGATTTAAGAATCCGCAACCTTGTTTTTCATGTGGCCCTAATAAATGACAAAAGATACTCCTGTAATAATTGCATGTACCCCCTCTTTAAGAATGGCAATTGCATCTTCTGGTTGTTCTTCGATATCTTACTTTACTTCCTGAATTCTTAGTAAAAAGAAAAATATGTGGAAGCTGCATAATGCCATCACTGAGAAGGTATCGAAGGGGTGGAAAGATACTACCCAAATGTGTGAAACTTTGCTGGTTGCTATGAACAGGGTGATAGATTTGGTAGAGGGAGACCAGACACCAAACTTGATAATTTTTATTTCTTTTGCTCAGTTTTTTCCTTTTTCTTTGTTCATGTGTATGCCTTGGTTCATGTGGTCATAGTACATTACAAAAGGTAATTGTGTGATTCTATTTATACAAATGTTATTTGTTTAGTATAACCATTTCTGTTTTATATGATTATGATAATGTTCTTATGTGTCTCATATAATTGATGATGTGCCAGGTTGCTCTCTGCTACTGCTCTTGTAACATTTTGGCTATTCTCTTGTGGTTTGATAACCTCATCTTGTCTGTCATAACATCTCTGGTTTGTTATTATTTCTCATTCAGATAATCACATTGTGGTATGGGCTGGTCGCCTCTTCTTGATTTCATTTTTGTTGAAAGATGTTCAGTAGGCACGTTCTTAGCCGGTTTGAATGGCCATGGCGAAGCAAAAGTCCTCTAACGACCCAGTTGCTCGATGATAGGCCGACTGATGTAGAATTGTCTGTTTACTCTAAGTTGCCAGGTCCTGATCCTGACAGCCCATCTGGCCTTCTTAATGGTGAAGAATTGAACACAGAACCAATTGTTGATTTAGATCTCTTCTTTGGATCTCTCTACAATTATTATTGCGAGAAAGGGTTACGGTGCATCACTCTAAAGTGGATAGTTGAGATCCTTTCCGTAATCTTTGTTGAATGTTTTATTTGGTTTTTCTTATTGGTTGTTGATTGGCCTGCTCTCCGCAACGCAAGATGTGGGATGGATGCACTTGAGTCTGGAAATAAGCCTTGTGATCTCGCAAAGGAGGCCATCAATAAGCACCCACTTGTACCTTTTACTTTTACCAAAGGTGTCATTGTTGGGTCCATGATTATATTGGCAATCTATGGAGTATTCAACTTTTTGAAGTTCATTGTGCAATTCAAAAGTACACTAAAAGTTCGTGACTTCTATTATAACAGGTCAAGTTTCAGATCCTTTATATGCTTAAATTTCACATTGTACAATAGCTGAATAAATCAAGATAAATTTCTTCTTTTTTTCTCCAGTCTCAATGTCACAGATCGTGATATTCAAACAACTTCATGGCCCGTTATGTTAGAAAAAGTCATAAAATTACAGCGGTCACAGCAACTGTGTGTGATCAGAAATCTTACTGCACATGACATAGTGATGCGAATGATGCGGAAGGAGAACTACTTAATTGGAATGCTCAACAAACGTGTTCTTGCTTTTCCAATTCATTGTTGGATCCCTGGAGCTGGTCCTGTTTTGATTAAAAATGGGAGAAAATATCATATGATACTACCAAAGACTCTTGAATGGACATTAAATTGGTGCATATTTCAAAGTATGTTTGACAGGTAATTTTGTTCGTCATCCTGTCACTTGTAGTCTTGCTATATACATCATAATTGGTGATGAGCAATTAAAAGTTTCAGGTTAAATCTACTAGGTTGTAGCATATGGTATTATAGTTTCAGGAGATACTTTACAGGGAGTTTTGCTGCAATATTAGAAAAGTAGTAATCGATCCTGGAGTTCACAGAGCAAGCACTTTACTTCAATAATTTCTTTCCTTTTTTTAAATTTCAGAAACATAATGGTGAAGTAGGGTTTGATACTCTTAGTCATTAATTTGAGTTTACTGTGTATTTTACTTGCAGAATTTACTTTTCACATTACTTTTATATTCTTGTAGTTCTATTATGTCTTTGAATTTTCTATTAAATATGTGAATATGCATCATATTCTTGCTTAGATTTTCTGACATTTGTAATTACTTAGAAGAGAGAACAAAAGAAATCCCTGATAATATCTATGTGCTGACAATGGAATCATTTTTCTGTAGTAAATTTTGTATTCGGAGAGAATTCCTAGAGAACCCTTCATTATTGAGAAAGAGGCTAAAGATTGTTGGGATTGGGATGTTTCTCATTTCACCATGTCTAGTAATCTTCATGCTAGTATACCTGTTCCTAAGGCATGCTGAACAGTTCTATCATCATCCAAGCACAGCATCATCTCGGAGGTGGTCAAATTTATCAAAGTGGATATTCAGGGAATTCAATGAGGTACATGCCCTAAACGATTCTTATTGACGGTTCATATGTATAGATTTGGACTATCTGGAAATCCTTATTCTCAATTGTCTTGTTGGATAACTGATGTTTTTTGTACATCATATTAAGGTTTAAGGTGTTCCTTGCCCTAGCCATGCTTGTCATTGGTTAACATAATATGTACCATTCCAAGCATGCTATAATGGGCCAAAGCATGCTAAAAAGTTCAAGTAGGCTCCATAATCATGAATTGCTACATTTTTGTTGTATGATATAGTGCATTGCACATAGGCATGGACTATGTATGCACGTAATCTACTGGCATAGATCATATTGCACATACATACAGTTCCACACTTATATATGTTCATCTTGATAAATGTTGGAGAATAGGATTTTAATATAGATAACTTCTTTTCAGTGTCATTTAGTTCTTTTGGTTGCACAAACAGAGTTATAAAATCATGCTGTAGCTTTTCTTGTAAAATTTTAACTTTAAATTTCTAGTAGAGTGGTAAATAGTTGTGACACAAAAGCAAACTCTCTGCTTGCGAAGAGTAGACTGTGTATATTAACCCTCCCCAGATTCCACATTTGAGCAAGCCTCATCATGTACCGAGCCAATCTTCTAGTTGTGTATACCCCAAAAGCTTGAACATCTTGTTTAGCTCCTGCCTTCCAGAATTGTTGTTGTTGCTATTGTGTAATATCTTTCTTCTTTTACCACAAAAAAGATTCATTTTTTTTTTTTAACTTTTGCTGCTACTTTGGTATTAACACTTCAGAACCCATTCTTTTTACGGCATTGACCTTTGAATATTTTCACTTTATTTTGGTGTTCAAGTTTGCTCTCATATTTTTTTAGGACATTTCAATTGGTGGCTAGCATGATATGTGCTGGTGGCATGGCATGGCATGGCGTGGCATGGCGTAACATGTCATGCAATGGAACAGTGAACTAAAAAGATAAGGGAACAAGAACAGATATCCATGACAAAACCAATGCAAGAGGTGGCACAGAAGCTTTTTTGTTGATTCCCATAGGTCAAGTAAACCAAAGGTTAGCCAGTGAGGAACTTCATAGTGTCACTTTGGCCTGTAACCAAGCCAGTTCTTAAGAAACAAATCCAAATTTGCCTATGAGGGTGATCGTATAAAATGGTTTGATATCAGTGTCTATTGTCATCGAAACTTATCCCTCAGATCATATGCTGGATAAATTGTGAGACTTAAAACCTTGGTTGTCCTTTTGCCATGTTTTATAGTGATTTTTTTTGGTTTATACTTTATACTTTATTGTGCCTGTGTGGGCATGCTTCATAAATTTAAGGGTATTCTCTAGGAATAACTTACCAGAATCATGCTTAATATATAATACTTTATTAGAAGCATGCTTAAAATTGCTGATGTGTCTTTAATAACTAAGACTCTGAAATTGTGGGATCCATGCTAAATTATATGCAAGGTTATGTCATAGTTAAACATACTTGTAATCTTAAGTTTGCATATGTTCCTTTATTATTTTAAGATTCTGACAATTAGACATGCTTGTTTGATGCGTTTTACATTATGCTGGTTAAAGTATGTCATGTTTAAACTTGTGATCTTTTTTATAAGATAGGTTAATTCTTCCGCTAACATTCTTATTTACTGTTGGCACTTCCTACACAACTCAGGTTGAACACTTGTTCAGATATCGCATGAGCAATAGCATAGTACATGCTTCAAATTATCTTAAGCAGTTTCCTGCACCTCTTGTGACCATAGTTGCGAAATTTATATCTTTTGTGTCCGGTGGTTTTGCTGCTATTTTGATCATTATTGCCTTTATGGATGAATCTCTGTTGGAGGGCCATGTAAGTGTGTGAATAAATTCTTTTTGTACATACACTATTCTGTTTTCACACAGGACATCATGGCAGTTTCTTTTGTAATTTCAACTGAATCTGCAGGTTTTTGGTCGCAATTTGTTCTGGTATGCTGCCATTTTTGGATCTGTAACTGCTATAAGTCGAGCTGCTGTAGCTGATGAGCTTCAGGTCCTTGATCATGAAGGAGCCATGTCTCTTGTTGTGGATCATACGCATTATATGCCAAAGAAATGGCGCGGTAAAGAAAACAGTGACTTGGTTCGCTCAGAATTTGAGACCCTGTTCCAGGTAAGATTTTATTTACTACATACTATTATTACCTGTTAATGATGCTAAACTGTGCATTGTGTACCTTCTGCTTGGATGTTGGCTATACATCTTTTGCAGTTATTATGTTGCACTATCAAGGTATGTGCTTCTGTTTTATGAATGGTATCTCATTTGCAATAGTTTCCCATCAAAATTTTGTAGTTGTCTGCCTGGTGATTCATGGCTCAATTGTTTGATTAAGGCTCATTTGTCTTGCTTTGACGGATATTTTAGAGGGCCAACTACCTTGCAATTAAATGTTGATGGATCTAATTTATGGAAGTGGACAAGAATTGATATCTCCCATCTGGTTGTCCTAATGTTTTGAAATATATAAGTGGAGATTGATGGAGGACCAATTTAGTGAATATCTCATTTGAATGAATTTTATTAGTTTGAAAGGTATTTTGCAAAATGTTATAAGTTGTCAAGTGGTAACAACTTCCATAATTTCATATTACTTATCAATATTGCTCAAGAGAAAGGAAAAAAAATTAACTAAAAGAAGACAAACTTATGTTTGATTGATGATTCTAAGGAAAAAGAAATTTATGTCTTCGATTCGATTGAAGATCTTATCTTTACAACCATCAAACAAGTATTTTCTCGACAAATATCATTTCCAAAGCAAACATGAAAATATATCTTCCTCAAAGAAGAAAAAAATGAAATAATTGGTATGTTTTGATTTAGGGATATTTTTTTTTATTGGATTTCTTTTTTCTACTTAGGGGTTGGATTGTAGTTAAACGTCATAAAATTTTTGAGTGAAATGAAGTTCCTTTTCCAATATTATGTGAGCAGTGAAGTCACATTTTAATTTCCGTTGATGTAATTTTCAAGGTATGAAATTTCATACCGTATCGGAGTTTCGACGATCGCTCAGTACGGTACGGAACGATATACCGCTCGTTCGGTATATATATATATATATATTATTTATTTAAAAGCTGACGTCGCATCGCCTTTTCAGCGACGTCGCGTTGCCTCGGTGACGTCACCGAAAAAGGCGATGTCGTGTCGCCTCGTTTATTTAAATAATATATATATATATATATAAGATTATATATATATATATATATGTATATATATATATATGTATATATATATATATATATATTATATATTAT